TTATACCGACAGCTGTTATGCTTTCGGCACCGTCCATGTACATGGTGCCATCTACCGGGAAAGGGGTTTCATTACAGCGGAAGGAAAGGAGCTACGTAACCTCCCAGAGATCCAGAGACTACTGACTGCGGTGCAGAAGCCCCAAGCTGTTGCGGTAGTACATGTTCCTGGTCACCAATCTGCCCAGACTCCGGAAGCTACAGGGAACCGGCGTGCGGACAAAGCGGCCCGAAATGCTGCTTTGGCCTCCACGACCCTAGCGCTGACCTTACCCGTGCCCGAGCTTCCACACTTGCCACCGCGACCCAAGTACACCCTGGAAGACAAACAGTGGATCCAAGATCACCAATGCCCAGAGCCCAATCAGCAAGGCTGGTATCATGATATCGAAGGGTGGCTGATCTTTCCTGAAAAGTTAGGACTGTTTCTCTTCTCCAATTTAAATCGAGCCAACCATTTAGGCAAGAAGAAACTACTTGCCCTCCTCGAGTCGCCCGCTTCCAGTTCCCACATCAAACAGCCCAGATTCAAAAGATTGTGGACCAATGTGCTGGGTGCCAGGCTATGAAACCCAGCAAAAGGGGACTCCTACATACAGGTACACGGGTACGGGGGAGGGCGCCAGGACAGAGCTGGGAAGTGGATTTTACTGAAGTGAAGCCGGGAAGGTATGGGTATAGGTATTTGTTGGTTCTGATAGACACCTTCTCAGGCTGAGTGGAAGCCTTTCCTACAAAACGAGAGACTGCTCAGGTTGTAGTTAAGGTTTTGCTGGAGGAAATCATATCCAGATATGGCATCCCCGAAACTCTAGGCTCTGATAACGGTCTGGCTTTCATCAGTAACGTCCTACAAGGACTGGCCCGGGCAGTGGGGACTAATTGGAAACTGCATTGTGAATATAACCCCCAGAGCTCAGGGCAGGTAGAAAGAATGAATCGGACCCTGAAGGAGACCTTATCTAAATTAGCCATCGAGACTGGTGGAAACTGGGTGGCCCTCCTACCCTATGCCATCTTCCAGGTTCGAAATTCACCATATGTACATGGATTGACACCTTTTGAAATTCTATACGGGGCTCCGCCCCCCAATGTTGTCTGAACCCTACTGGACCAAGACCCCAGTACGGCCCCAAATTACTTGGCCAGCTTAAAAGCCCTACAGGAGGTCCAACGTGAAATCTGGCCCATAATGCGTGCCTTGTATGAGACAAAGGACACATCGAACCCGGAACATGGCATCGTCCCAGGGGATTGGGTATGGGTAAAGAGGCACAAAGCCCGCACTCTAGAAGAAAGATGGAAAGTCCCTTACCTGGTCATTCTGGTTACCCCCACTGCTCTTAAGGTTGACGGCATCGGGCCTTGGGTCCATCACTCCCACGTGCGTCAAGCCAATCAGCAGGAACAGAAAGAGGCTAGAGAGTGGACCGCGCGGTGGCACCCAGATAACCCATTGAAGCTGAAGCTTTTGCGACCCCAGGAACATGCAGAGTCTTCAGGAGCAGCCACGGATGGGTTGGCTGGTCGCTCTGATCTTGCTCAACACCCAGAGCAGGAGCCTCGCAGAAACCAACCCTCACCAGCCCTATAAGCAAACCTGGATACTCACTGATGGGGAGACTCATACCACCCTTAACAAGACTACTCGCACTGCCCCCATAGGAACTTGATGGCCGGAGCTTCAATTCTGCTTTAGAGACATCAATCCTGCCTACAAGTCTACTGCCCCAGAGTCAGCCCGACGTTATGGTTTTTATGCTTGCCCCGGTCACAAAAAGAACAAGGACTGTGGGGGTTACAATACTCCTTCTGTAAGTCATGGGCATGTGTCACATCCAATGATGGTGAATGGAAGTGGGGGATATCGAAACCGGACCTAGTCAAATTTGCCTTTGTAAACGGGGTACCCTGGGGGCGCAGAATTCTGTCACCCACCCATGAATGCCAGCCCACAGATACAGATAGAATCAAGGTCACCTTCACTGACAGTGGCAAAGAGGACACCCCCAGGTGGATACAAGGCAAGGTGTGGGGACTTGTGTTTTATAAATATGGTGGACATTCTGGCTCGACCGTAGTAATCAGATTAAAAGTTGAGCCCATGGGGCCACCGTCCAAAATGGTAGGCCCCAACAAAGTACTCAAGCCGCCCTATGTAGAGCCACCTCTCCGACCTCGCACAACCCCAGTCCCTACCCGGCCTCACACAAAGGCTAGTATTAAAACTCCAGGACCATTAGGCACCGGTCCTCCCTTGGTGAAGCCCAGTCTCATGACCGGGTCCACAGACCCCCTCTGGAATCTGGTAAATGCTGCATTCCTAACATTGAACCACACCAACCCTAATATGACCCCCTCCTGCTGGCTGTGCTATGATGTGAGGCCCCCATTCTATGAGGCAATAGGGCTAAATGTCACCTACGATATCTTGACTAGTGAAAACCCCACTCAATGTTCCTGGGGAGACCATAAGAGAGGTCTGACCACACAACAAGTGAGCAGCCAAGGAACCTGCTTAGGGAAGGTGCCGGTGGGAAAACAGGACCTATGTGCTGTTGTAGAAAACAACCCCACCTGGGGTGATGGCATTAAGTGGGTAATTCCAAAAGGCAATGGATGGTGGATATGCTCACAGTCCGGGCTCACCCCTTGCCTATCAACTAATATGTTTAACGGCTCTAAAGAATTCTGTGTCCTAGTGACTGTGCTGCCCCGCATCATCTATCATTCTGAGGAGAGCCTATATTCATTCATACTGGAATACAGGAACAGGTGAGAGAAAGAAGAGAGAGCCTATTTCTGCATTAACCATTACTACCCTACTTAGCCTAGGGGTGGCTGGGGCAGGAACTGGCATAGCCTCCCTGGCTACTCAACATAAAGGGATGTCCTCGCTGTGTGCAGCCATAGACAAGAATATAGAGAGGATAGAAGCCTCCATTAGTCACCTAGAAAAATCCCTTACCTCTCTATCTGAGGTAGTGCTTCAGAACCGACGGGGCCTAGACTTATTGTTCCTTCAGCAGGGGGGAATATGTGCCGCCTTAGGGGAGGAATGTTGTTTTTATGCTGACCATTCAGGGGTAGTTAGGGAGTCTATGTCTAAAGTGAGGGAAGGACTGGCAAAAAGGAAATGGGAAAGGGAAGCCCAAGAAAATTGGTTCGAAGCCTGGTTCAATAGGTCCCCCTGGTTCACTACCTTGGTCTCTACCCTGGTGGGCCCTCTGGTCATACTACTGTTTATCTTAACCTTTGGTCCTTGTATTCTGAATAAGCTAGTGACCTTCGTGAAAGATCGAGTTAGTACAGTCCAACTAATGGTCCTGAGGCAGCAATACGAACAATTACCTAGCCCTGAGGATGTTTACGCTCCTTACGCTTGTCGCCCAGATGAGCATGATTCCTCATTATGAACAACTAAAGGGGGGAATGTTAGGGTACAAATGTTAGGGTACCTTTGAGGCTTGCAGCCCACTCAGCCTGAAACCGGCCATGGCTAACATGACCCAAGCCACCACTTACTGGAACTAAGGGAGGTGGGACAGTTTCTGGGAACAGGGACTGTTTCTGGTTAATCTTGCTAGAACAGTATGTGAGTCAATGAGTTGAGACACCTGGTGTTTACCAAATTCCTGATAAATAATCTTCAAGTAATCTTGCCCCACCACCAGGATGTAGGTGATATCAGAAATATGTGACCCCAGGGACCATAAAAATTGCTGTGTGACCGTGACTAATGTCTAAAAAAATATAAAAGCAGCCTGAACTTTGTATTCAGGGTCCTCGTTGAAACCCGCTGCGTGGGGTGGATACCCGGACCCCAGCTGGCTGGAACTAAACCTCGCTTTGTGGCTTACATTATCGTGAGTGTCTTTTGTTCCTCTGAGGGGTGGTCAACTTCGGACCCCAACAGATTCAGGCTCTGTTCTGGACTCTGCAGGCTGCTGAAATTCCTAAGACCAGCATTTGTCACAAAATGTGGTGCTTGCGTGTGGGCTGGGGGAGGACCAGGGGAGGGAGGAATGTTAATAGTCCACTTTAAAGTTAGGCAGGAAAATAAGGTACTGAGGAGAGAATAATTAACTCTGGTTTGAGCAGGGGGATGGTGGATCCAAGAAGGGTGAAAAGAGAAGTGGCTTTTGAACCGACTGGGTCTTATTTAGAGAAAAAACTCTTTCAATGGCAGACAGAAAAACTTTTCAGTAGCAGGCCACCTGAATCATAAAGCTCCTCCAGCTGCGTGCGGGCTGGCAGAACCCATCCACGCAGGATCTCACCTCGTCCTCAGCTCTCCAAGGCGCTACTAGGACCACCCGGATTTACAGACGCGGGACCTGGGCACAGATTGCCAGGAAGTCACTGGATCCGAGCCCACGCTGGTTGCGTGCTCAGCACGGGTGAGCGCACCGCCAATGTGCGCAGGGCTGCGCTAGCGTCCGGGACCCAGGTGTGGACTAGGTGGACAAGATACATATAGGGAGAAAGCCATAGGGCTTTCGGAGAGTGATGAGCACTCCAAACGGAAAAAAAAGCAGGGCTGGGATGGGAGGACTGGCTACTTTTGGTGTGCACGGGGATGGCATGGGCCGAGCCCAACCCGGGTCTGGCCCTGCTTGGGCTTTGAAGATGGACGCTGTGCCTGGGCGTGTTGCAGGACGCAGCTGTATTGGGGCGATCCCCTTAACGTTCTCACCTCCCTGCAAAGCCGGCCCTCATTTCGCACACGGGGAATCTGAAGACACGCGGGAGCCGCGGGTGACGCGGCACGAGGACACAGACGCGCAGCCTTCAGGTCCGCGCGCACTCGACTGCGCCTGCGCCCAGTCTTCCCGGGGCGGAGCACGCGGCCAGGCTCGGCCCTCCTCCAGGGCGGGGCCTCCTGTTGCTGCCGGGCGGTTGGTTTCGGGGCGGAACCTTCGCGCGGCGAGGGCGCGCACGCGGGGGAAGGCTTTGCGGAGGCGCAGCAGGCTAACGTGGAGTCGCGGCTCGGCTGCACAGCGTCCTCGGTTCTGCCCGACTCCCGGCCGGGTGCGCGCGCAGTCCTCTCTCGTGGACGGTCCCGCCGCCCCACCCCCAGCCGGAGGGGCGCGCGGCCGCCGAGCCACCCGGGACAGAGGAGGAGGAGGCGGCGGGAGCGCGAGCTGCCACCCGCGTCTCCTTGGCGCGGCAGGTGAGGAGGCGAGGCGCGGCGGGCCCGGACCCCGCTTCCAGAGCCCCGGGTGACCCTAGACCCTCGGGAGTCCTGATGTCCTCTCAACATTCCCTCCAGACTGCTGGCCCCGAGATACTCCAGGATCCGCCCATCCCCTCCTGACACTTTGGGGTCCCAGGCAACCTCTGGCCCCGTAAGCCTTCCTTTGCTGATCCTGGAACCCCAAACTCTTAAAGATTTCTTCCCTAGTCTCTTGAGACCTCCTGAGGACCTCGGCGACTTCAGGGCCGCCCCAGCGCCTCCTCTGGCTCGGGAATTCACCGTTCCTGGGTGGAGGCTTTCAGTGCCATCTGCCCTTCACGCCCCTCTCCCCCCCATCACTGGAATTCCTTTTGCTTGTCTTTACCACCAGCTGTGGCTTCCGTTCCGCAGCCTCTCTCCTCCACTCTAACTTGAGGTCTATGAAAGTATTCCCCCGGGTTTAGAATTGTTAACAGTAATAAAAGAAGTAGAAACATGTAACAGGTCACCCGATGACCGATTTGCAACTAAACAGGGGGCGTGACTTCAGACCCTGCAAGTGCACTTGTGTTTCCTGTTGCAAGGACAGCCTTAAACTTGTAATGCTCTGGTGGGACTCACACGGCAGAGGGAGGCAAGCAAATCCTTTTAGACTGATTCTATAGCTCAGCTTTTTCGTTGCTACATGGGCCTGAATGCCTGATAGGTTGTTTCCGTGCACAGGGCTGAGCAGATGAAGCCAGTCAGTTGAGAGATAAGGCAGTGGCAGAGAACTTTATGACTGTAACCTCACTGATGGGAAGATGGCAGCCCAAAGAGTCATCCTCCTGGGAGGCTGATTTAGGGTGATTTATAATGGAGATGGCAATTCTTGATTGGTGGGTGCCTTCCCACAGGTGGAGGTTTGTGGTCAAATGGTATACCTGTGATTCTCATGTCAGGAGATGCTTTGCAGTACTGTAGATCAAGAACGAAGATCAAGGCTGGGAGTGTGGCTCAAGTGGTAGAGTGGGAGGCCCTGAGTTCAAATTTCATATCACAAAAGAGCAAAGATCATAATTTCCTCAGGCTGTTCGTGTCACTGAGTAGCTTGCCCACACGCAGTCCTGCCGTCCCAGCTTCTTACACAGTGGCCACAGGAGGTGGCCATCTCGGGTCCTCTGATCTCTAAACTCATGGTGATGAAAAAAAAACATACTTCACCTGGTTATTTTGGAAGACAAGGGTCAGGCAAGGTTAACTAGGGAGTCAGCAGATCAGGTCCAGTGTTTGGCTTCAGTTCCAGGTCCTGGTGCTGGAGATAGAAGAGGATACACTCCCTGCTGTCAGGGCTGGGTGGGACCAGCAGTTAGCCAAGCAGGTTGTTTTTATATGGTGGTGAGAGTGCAGTGGTCTTGAATGCAGCTGGTGTGGGGGATGGATTCTTGAGAGGGGAGGGGTTTAAGGAGAGCTTGGTGGTGGTGGGGGGAGAGGGGACGATAGGTCACAGGTAAGCAGATTCTTAAACATTGAGGTTGAGAAGTTTGCCAGGATCATTTTAGGCAAAGAGACGGTATGTGGAAAGGCAAGGCGAGCTTCTCTCTGGGATGGGGATAGTTGTGGCAGGAGTTGTAGTGTGTTCCCAAATTGATAAGGGTGGTATGGGGGAAGTCACAGTGGGAAGAACCAATCGCCCATGCCCGTGGGTCTTTGTTTTTTATTTGTTTTTATTTCTTACGTTTTTGGTGGGCTTGGGGTTTGAACTCAGGATTTTGAGCTTGCAAAATAGGCACACTAGCACTTGAGCCATGCCTCCACTACATTTTGTTCTGGTTATTTGGAGATCAGGGGTTTCATGAGAATTTTTGCCCTGGCTGGCCTGAACCATGATCTTCCCAATTTCACCCTTCCAGACAGCCTTGGGCCTTTCTTGAATTAGTGCTTCTGCAGTCCCCTGGAGGAATGAGAGAAGTGTTCCCGGTTGTTGCCAGTATGGAAGAGACTGGGAACTTTGCAGAGCCCAGGGTTTGAGACTGGAGTGGAAGAAAGAGGGCCTGAGCCGAGCCAGGACTCCTCAGTTGAGCTTTCCATGCTGAGCAGAGGACTGGGCACTTTCGGGGATCAGGAAGCAATTGAAGGACTCACAGAGGACAGTACAGTGGTGTGTGTGTGTGTTTAAATGGTCACTGGCTTTGGTGGGGAGACTTGTTTGAAGGAAACAAGACCATGTGAGAGATGGAGACCTAGGTGGTGTCTGTGGGGACAGTGAGTTTCTGGGGCTTGACTAAGCTTCTGGAAGCCCAGAAGCCTGGAAGCTGACAGGAGAACTTTTCAGATGAGGTTTGTCCATGTGCCCATAGGTGTGCGGTCATCTTGAGCTTCATCAGGGTAATAGTGTGCCTGCTCTCCACAGACGAGACACAAAGAATGTTGCACAGTGGGGGGGGGGACTGATTTTCAGAGTTCGGCCAGGTTCTTGCCTGGTTGCAGGGTCCTGAAGGAAGTGGAAAGCCATTGGAGGAGAGAGGCATACAGATGTGTCAGCAGTGTCATTCTGGAGACTCTGGGTCCAGAGGGCTGAAACTGCAGCAGGAGGTTTCAGTGTCTAGACAAGTGAGGGCTTAAAGGCAACAGCTGACCTGAGGGTTAGTGGTTGGGAAGAGCATTTGGGACCATTTGTTAAGTCTCCACTTAGGTGAGGGAGAGGGAACCTAGACCAGCCCTGTGCAGGAGGACTTGCGGGGGTGGCATCAGTACCATGTGGCAATCACCCAGGACACCAGCCCCGTGCGATGCTGAGCACTTACAACATGACTAGCATGACTGGGTTTTTTTGGTACCTGAATTAAATCTAGGAAGGCCCTCCCCTCACATCCCTAGGTGTCGTGGGAAGCACTGTTCCAGGTTGTTCTTTTCAGTGTTGTCCCATTTAATGCTTTCAACCACCCAAGAAGGGGTTTGGGGGTGTGGTTTCTTCTTTTTCATGGAAGGAACCAGGCTTAGGAAGAGTGAGTTGCCAGGTATTCAGCACAGCCAGTACTGAACCTGTCATCAGCTGGTGCTTTCTACTGTATCCTCTTTCCTTCCCCCACAGATCCTGAAGGATCTTCCTGCCAGGAAAGAGAAGTGGTGCCATTGTTTCTAGTTTAGCTTTCCTTATCTGTTCTAAGTTAACACCTACAGTGTGTGACAAGCCAGCAAAGACAGACAGAACTGTGCTGCAGCTGGCTGCTTTGCGTCAGGCAAGTGAGTGGAGGGTGAGCAGTGAAACCAAATGGATGTAGGACATGGAAACCCACATGGATGCTTGGAATGTGAAGATCTGGTGGCCCAGAGATGGAAATGAGTGCCTGAGATGAAGTTTTGGGGTCACAGTGGGCCAGGAAATGCCCAGGTTAGCGAAAAGAGGCTGGGATGTGAGTGAGGAGTGAGTTTATAACTTGTCTCTAACTCCTTGGGGGTCATTGGCCAAGTCCCTGCCTTTTTAGAATCAAAACAAAGACTTTTTTTTTTTTTTTTTTTTGGTGGCACTGGGGTTTGAATGCAGGTCCTCACGCTTGCTAGGCAGGCTCTCTACTGCTTGAGCCACTCCACCAGCCCTGTTTTGTGTTGGGATTTTTCAAGATAGGGTCTTTTGTACTGTTTGCCCTGGGCTGGCCTTGAACCTCTGTCCTGATCTCAGCCTCCCAGGTAGCTAGGATTATAGGTGTGAGCCACTGGCACCTGGCTAGAGTCTCAGTTTTGGCCTCAGATAGAGAGGACATTTGTATCACTGAAGCTTTAAGAGCCTCCAGCTTTAAACTTCTGCAATTGAGGTTTCATATCGATTCCCTTGGGCCAGGTAAATTCTGGAGGAGCAGTTGGCCCAATTTTGGGGTGTTTGACCACTTTCTGGCTTATCATTAAGTAATATGACTATCTGAGTTATGTGATGTGTCATATCTAATGACAGATTGTAAAACAGTGAATGCTTAGTGGGTGGCAGGTTTCCAGTAAAATCTCAGGTGTGTTTGTTTGCCAGTCCATGCCACACTGATATTAGGGGAACAGGTGCAAGACTGTATTTCGTGGCAGATGGCCTTTTAAAAGGGCTCATGTCATTCTGGACTGAGTGGAGGTAAAAGCAGTGGCCACTTGATTGGGTTATTGAGGATTTAATGAATGGATACACCCAAAGTGCTTGATGTTTTCCCTTGAATCTAATTAGGGCTCTGAAAAGTGTCAGTCATTAATGTTGCTTTTCCAATGAAACTGTGACCTTTAACTTTATTGTTACTGATAGGCTGTGCTGTTTTCTTGTGTGTAAGCATTGGTTTCAAGAAGCCAATTTTGGTCATTACAAAATAGGCAGCTTTCCTGTTGTAATTTATCTCAGCTGAATAACAAATGACTGGGCAAGTAGCATGTGTCTGAGTTAAGGGTTTGTCCTTTCTGTGACTTGAAGAAAGCAGTTCATCCTGAAGATCCCTTCTTACTAGTGGTGGTTGAAAGGAGGTTTCCCCGAGCTGTGGTGAGTTGCTATGCAGTTGTAGGGCTGCCTTGAGAGCAGTGTGGCATGGCAACATGGCAGCTGATAGTAATGGCTGGCATCTTCCAATTGTCTTGCTGCAGGTTCTGGTACCAGCCCACCAGTGAAGTAGGTGGTGGGATTCCCATTAGTCAGCCTGGGAACCTGAGCTCTTGAGTGGTCTCCTGGCTTGGGAAGTGCTGGTGTTTCCGTGCCTCCAGGTCTCATTCTCTCAGCCAGCTCTTTGCGGCTTTGCCTGGCGAAGAGCTGGTGCAGATCCTACCTCCTCTTTGTGGTTCTGGAAGTTTAACTTTTTGTCCCCTTTCGCCTGGTTTCCAGCTCAGGTGGAGCTAGTCCTGCTAGTCCAACTCACCTGCAATGAGTCTGTGGCCCAGACCCCACACGGGCCATTTGTGGTTAAAGGTGTGGGTGCACTGGGTCCCTAGTCTTGTTATCCAGTGATTTCTGCCTGTGCTCTTCACCCTACCCTTCTCCCCTCAAGGTCCACACA